TCATACTTTCTTCATTGTTCTTACTTCTCCACAGTAAGTGAGCAAACATGATGTTTCAAAAAGCTGTAACACAGCATGTGTAGTAAAATACTTTCAGGCAACTCACTGACTCAGCCAGCTGGGAGACAATTCTACAGGTTGAATCCAATAAATTCTGTCATATACGTCCTAGTAGGTGGTACTTGATACTGTAGGGCAAATATAATACCCGAGAAGTACATTGAGCTAATAAAGGTCTGATTTCATATCAGAGGCACTGTAATGCTGTCTAATTAGACTTTCTTTAATTTCAGGCTGTGCTAATTTAACCTTTTATTCCTCCATTTACTGTATCCTTTTTATCCTTTTTTTTTCTTTTTTTTTTTTTTTTTTCTCCTTCCATTTCCTGGGCTGTCAGTGTGAATGAGTCACTTTTACACTCATTACAATGTCACTTTGTGCCATTTTCTGAAGCTGTTTCTGGCTACTGCGGAAATGCTAGCTTTTATTTTGCCTTTTCCAGTTTGCTGGTTAGAGATAAATACTGTGCTGAAGAAACGTTTGTTTCTAAACATTCTGGTAACTACAGAAATTGCTGCAGAACAGACTAAGTAAACATACAGATAAAAGGTCTGACTCCAATGGCTGTAAATATCTGCTTTTAGCAAAAAATCTAGGGAGCCTCCTAATATTTCTGTGTTTAGGTGGCAGGATTAAAAAGACCCAGTTATAAGAGCAGGTAATAAGGGTCTGGTACTGGGAACTTCTTTGATTGCTTTTGGTCTGCTTTTTCTACCTATATTCCAGCTTTAGGGAAGCTAGTGGCATTACTCACAAGTCAAAGTATTTAATTAAATCAGTGAGTCATTGCCAGCTACCACCCATAGACCTTTGATTCCCTTGTCAGGCAACTGAAACATTTTCTGTTTATAGTTTTTTTTTTTTTTTTTTTTTTTTTTTTTTTTTTAATATTTTTTTATATATCTAAAAGCTAGTTAATTTGGGAGAAGCAGAGTGTCAGCTCCTAAGGAAATGTTTTTTAGGTATTTATGAAATATACATTAATGACATTTTGACATATAGAAAAGCCACTATTAATGCTCCTTAATGATCCTTTGCTCTCCTAAATTAGAACCCTTTCTGGAGTAAGGGATTATATTTACTCCCAGAGATTTTCAATTTTTTTGGGTCTATATGATCAGACCATTTAACATAAATTATTTATGCTCAAAGCATTTCCAATATTTCCCATAACTTGCAGTGCTTTACACAAGTTCTTTTATACTTTACTGAGATGAATGTCATTGTTAAAGTAATTTGAATTTTACCTTTCATATAAATGTAATAACCCTCCCAATGTATTAAAAAAAAAAAAAGAAAAAGAAATAAAACCAATATCATAATAATAAAAAATCAATATCAATTAAATATATCAATTAAAGCTTACAGCCTTAAAATTCTGTTACAGAGCAACAGAACATTAAATCGGAGAACTTGGACTTTTCTAGATGGCTGAGTTTTTTTAATTGAAAAAGCACAGCCAAGTTTACTTTGATCTTGGATTTTACTCTTCCTTAAGGAATTAAAGGATTTAAAGATTTAATCATTTCAGTAGTAACACCTGCACCTCCTTCATCCCATTTCTACCCATACCTGACACTGTACTCTGGGAATGCACAACCCTGTGGGAAGGCTAGCCAGAAAAGAGGCAATTATGTTTGGTCTGTAGACTTTGCAATAAAGCAGATATACAGTTAGTCTAAATTTTTTTGTCTTGTAAAATTGGCCAAGCATCGATGAGTCTGACTTTCCACAACATCCTCTTTTCAGGGAATACAGCTGTTAAGTTGAAGAACAGAAATACTGTACCCCAGTCAGAATTTTGATCTCTGTACAAACGCAGTCATTTATCCTTGTAATCGCACAGTAGCAATTACACGTGGTAGCTGTACAAAATTTTATTTTAAAGTGCCAAAAAAAAAAAAGTACAAAATTTTATTTTAAAGACTCATTTTCAAATGAAACATTTATTGTGGACTTCCATTTCATGATGATTTTCCTATATTTTCCTTCTAACTGGGAACAAAGTTTTGGGAATATAGGATGACAATAAAAATGAATTTACTAAATTTTGCAGTCTAAAGTCTATACTGTGCAGATTGCTGGAAGAAGGAACCGAGGCTGAAACCTGAATGATCTATAAGTAAATGAAAGTAAAATCTTCCTGAATAAGTGCAAATGTTGCCATCATGTTTGAAAAAACTCAGATACAGAGAATGAGAAATTCAGAAAATGAGAGCCACGGGGCAAACTTGGAATTAATCCATAGGCAATTGAGGCCGTGGGTAATTTCCAAATCCCTTTATGAAGGGTCAAAACCATGTCAAATATTACCAATTAAGGCTTGTAAGGAAAAGAAAGTACTTAGAAAATTCCCCTTTCCCATGTCATTTTAAAAACTAAAATTGAAAGTTTGTTCTGTAATTTTTCATTCCTATGAACCCAGAATAGTCATGCAAAGCATTTCAGACTCTTCAGTTTCTTTTATAACTATATGAGTATCAAATCTGAATAGCTGATGGTTATTTCAGCTTTTATCCAGCTTTAAATGGTATCAAACTATCACCACCTTTATTTACATTATAATGCTGAGTACTTATACAGCTCTTTGAAAATTTTCCTTAATATTTTTCCCCATACAGTTGTGTCTTAGTTGTGGATTTATATTAGTTTAGTTAGTGTCAAACTAATTAACTCAGATGTCTCACAAATTATAAAGAGAATCTTAGACAACTTCACATTATCTCGTAAGGAGCTTTTTTTGTTTCTCTTTAAAGCATGGCTGTACTTTTTATCAAATAGTGAATAAAAAGATTTGCTCTAATTTGTCTAAACTTGTGATAAAAAATAAATAAAAATCTTTTAAGACCTTGTGCTACAAAACTTTGCATGGATGAAAATTTAGTGTTAGGCCAAATGTATCATAAGAGGTGTTGTTTCTGGAAATCATACTGGCCTATGGAAACTAAAAAGGAATACTCTCAAATCTGTTGACTTTGTGCAGAAATACAGTCAATAAAACTTTTTTTTTCAGATGCTCTGTTGGTCTGTTTTGGATTTATGATATGTGGTATTATTTCAATATGTTAAAAATTTTGCTTATTATGTATGTGGCTTATTTCTAGTGTCTGAAGTCTCAAACATTATTTTTGCAAGGCAGTATACAAACAGATGCATCTCTGTGGACATTCAGGCATTTAATTCCAGCACACACAGAGAATCTTATCAGTCTTCCTGAAAACATGACAGTAATGTGAAGGTTGGCTGTTGCCCTTGGTCTTGAACAGTTACTTTTGCTCTAACTGTTGGAGAGGGAGTCTCTGCTGTTTGGTTTACTAGAAAACTGAAAATTATCTGAAAAAATAATAAAATGAAATGCTGAGAACAACTTAAAAAGATAGCTTGTTAATGCTAATGTTAGGCCCAGTGCTCAAAAGTATTGAGTGGATAGCAGTGAGCATTTCAGTAAAGACTCTTCTTCTAACAGTGTATTATTTTTTAAAGCCCATTGGTGAGATAACATCAGAACAACTGTTGGGAGCATTAGAAAAAGGAAATAATTAATGCACATAATTATCACACCTAAATAAGAGACTTATAGACAGAATGACAAAGTAGTAAGACAGATAGCCAGATGGGGTACACAAGGTAGTGCAGACAGTAGCATTAATGAATGTGATTAAATCTTGTCTGACACGTCAGAATGAACTGTTGAGTCCATAGTATAGTGCTATGTTTTCTTTCTTGTCTTTTAGCAATGCTGTAGGGAACACACATTTATTTATTTATTTATTTATTTATTTTCCTACAGATACTGTAAGTTAGGAAAACACTGTAGGAAAAAATTGAAACAGGAGGAAAAAAATGAAACTTTCTCAAATCAGGAGTGAAAATTCTGGCTCTGGTTTGATGTTGAAGATACAACTCTTACTATACAACTATATCTAAAGTCAGGTGGCAGGCTCTTCCCGCAGACCCTCCTGCCCTCATCACTTATCTTCATAGACAAGTAGACAAAACCAATAAAGATAGAACAGTGCCTGAAGGCAAGGAACTTCCTAGTCCTTTAGATTTTTATGAAATTGATGTTAATTAGCTTAGCCAAAGTTTGGTATCATACTTTAAGAAAAGGGGACATCTGTCAGTAGCTAAAGGAGATATTGAGCCTATTTTCTGGTTAGAATTCAGGGTTTCCTAGTGAACTGTTAATTAATTTGAAAAGATGTATTTCTGAATAATTAAAGCAAAAGTTTTCCTAAGGTGCTCTCCAATATGTGCGTGCACAACCTTATTTTCAGCATAACTTGAACATGCTGGCTTCTGTGGAATAATTTTCTTTGTGTGAATAACTATGGCTGCACTGATCCCATGTGGAAAAGAATAGCTCTGCACTTATTAACCAAGGAATTCAATATTAAGGGGATCTGCAAAATACAAAATACTATTTAATACTATTAAAACCCATGTTGCAAAAAAAGTTCACTGACTACAGTGAACTGCAGCTTCCAGGAACTTGATAGCTATAAATTGATGAAATATTTGTTAAAAATATAATATTGCGCTTTTGGCAATGAATCCATGGTCTGCAGATGAGTAAAACTTATTTTGAAGAACTAGAAATAAGGACATTAAAAATGTATTTAGAAGTACAAAGTATTATATTGTATATCATTATGTATTCTGGGAGGCGATTTAAAATTGTGGTTTTAAATAAAAAAAATGTCAATGTCTCTAGTATGTACTGGAGATGGGATGGGAGACTTGAAATCAGCTGAAAGCAACTAAAAATCTTGTCGTGTTCTTCATTGTGCTTATAATATAATTGTACTAAAGTATCTTACATTATTTCCAAAGCTCTCTGTTTATCTACCCATAAACCTATTTTCTACCCTGCTAAAGACTTTTGCAGAGCACTCAAGAAATTTGATTGAAGTGTATATTGTCATTTATATGTTATTCAGGAAAGATGAAAGGAAGAAAGAGGGGATCGTTCTTACCTTTAACCTTTTTCATGCTGTTTGTCTGTATTGCTGGACATGCGACTGATGACTCAGACGATGGCGAAGAAGGGGATGCTCTTGGTAAGAGTTCACAGAAACACAAAAAACTCTCATAACTAAATCACAATGTTATATGCACTCTATATGTACTACTTCTGTACTTGATTTTTTTTTTCAGGGAAATTTGGAAGTGGAACTAAGCATGCAACTGTGCTGAAACCAGACTGGGTTCTTAACGAACCAGGGGATGCTCAGAATTTCGCATCTAGCTCTAGCAAAATTGTTCACTTTCTATAATGGCTTCTGCTTTGCATGCTTTCTGAAAGTTCTAATCAAAGTATTAGATACCAAGATTATTCCCCTTAAGCTCTGCTTTAGGACCTCTGGAAAAGTTCAATTTTGAGGGAAAAGAACATGCAGGTGGTAAACTTTGGCTTTGTCTTCCTGTGCAAATGGAGTAGAAACATGATGAATAGCGTTGTAAGCTGATGTTACTCTCTCCTGTGCACAGCTCTCTTCAGCCACAGTTAATTTGCAAAGTTTACAAAATTTTGGATTGCCCTAGTTGTTTTCCTTGGCCTTAGAGATGGTTTCTGTATGGAAAAAAACATCTCTACCAAGTGATTTGGTATTGATGGATAAATAAAAACTCGGCAGTCAGAGATTTTTGTTGAAAAAAATATCAGAAGTGTGACTTAGGACTAGAGAGGTTCTTGGATTCTCTTAGCATTGTAAGGCTGTTGTTAATTGTACCTTCAATTAATTGAAATTCACTAAGTTGGGTCAAATTTCTGTACTGGATACCATTGTGCATAGTATTTTAATTTCGTCACAAGCAATCATGAGAAAGCAGATGAGAGAAAAATGTGCTTGTTGTACCATATTTAAATAGGCTTCTTTCCTTTTAGAAAATGACTTGAAATGGTTACCTTTTTCTTATGCTGTAGAGAGAAATGTAGTGGATACCTCTCACATTTGACATGTCTAGTTTTGAAGACCATCTAGGAATACAGCTAAGGGTGACTTTTTGTTGCTGTTGCTGGTACTCATATAACTGCCTATGGCTTGTCAAATTTCCATCCACATTATTTCTTCCTATAAGTCCTTTGCAGCAGCCTTGAGACAAAATATTAATTCTGTACAGTCATGGCTGTATTACAAACTAAGCCAGCACTTTAGGACCATATCACAATTAGTCACCACAATTTAAAATATTAGACATTCCACATTAAGTGTATGCTTATCATGCCAATGTCGTCAGATTGTTTCATGCAGAAAAAAATTGTTTCTATTTACCCTTGAGGTACCTAACTACCCTTCTTGTTTGAAGGAAAACTTGTATTTGGCTTTGCTCTCCCCCACAACTCTGTTTTATAAAAGCCTCAGCCTGAACTCGCAGTTCATGAAGGCCAAATTGTCTTGTTGGAGGATTAGTCTTTTTTTTTTTTTTTTTTTTTTGTGGCCCTGCGTACTTATTTTTTTTTAAATATAAAAGACAACAGGAAAAGCACGCCAAGGAAATTGAATAATCTCTTTTTATCCAGCAGTATTTTATCACCAATTATTTAACAATTGTCATTTAAAATTACACAGCCAGTAAATGATTTAGAATGAGGGACAGTTATTAACTTCTGAACTAGTATTCCACAGTAAAAAATGGTCAAATGTGATGATTAGAAACTAAACCAGGGCCCTGCTGTTGTTATGGCTAGTGAAGACTCAGTTGTGGTATTTACAAGAAATTATTTTTGCTGTAATCTGATTATGTTTTTATAAAATGATTATGTTGTTGCTATTTAAAATTATTCTTGTGATTCCTTACATATTAAATTCTGGTTTCCCTGAATTTAACAACAGAAATTTTGTAGGCTGCAATTTCACTAATGGCATGTATTTTCTGATGGTAGGTGGTTATAAAACATACCAGCGACAGGACCCGCGGGAACGGGATTAAGCTGAGGCAGGGGAAATTTAGGCTTGATATCAGGAGGGGGTTCTTCACAGAGAGGGTGGTTGCACACTGGAACAGGCTCCCCAGGGAAGTGGTCACTGCACCGAGCCTGTCTGAATTTAAGAAGAGATTGGACTGTGCACTTAGTCACATGGTCTGAACTTTTGGGTAGACCTGTGCGGTGTCAAGAGTTGGACTTGATGATCCTTAAGGGTCCCTTCCAACTCAGGATATTCTACGATTCTATGACATACTTCACCCCAGCAATTCAATTCCAGATATTGAAGGATAAAATAAGTTGTATGCATCCATTGCTTGCAATATGGATCTTGGATCTCATATTCCATATTGGATCTCATATTGCTTGCAATATGGATCTCTTGGATCACATTTGATACATCTCTGAATTAATCTGGGCTTTTTGATTTTTTTTGTGTGTGTGTGTGTGTGTTTTGTGTGTGTGTTTGTTTTGTTTTGTCTATTAGTATTTAAACTGCAGTAGTAATTAAAGTTGAAAGTCAAGTCCAGCAGGTTAAAATGGATTCTCAGTGTGTTCTTTTCCAGCAAAAATGCTGTCATTTTTCCATGAGTAAATTAGATTTATAAAAAAAGTAAATGATATAAAAATAACCAGTCCATGTATATTGTTCCATAATACCTTATGTGTTTGGGAGCACTTTAGTTGATGTTCCAAAGCCTGAAGAAAATAACTTACTGGTTGAATGTGCTTTTTATTCTAATGTGAAAGTTTATCAAGAATAAATGTGACTGCTTTAAGAAAGGGTAGGAAACACATGGGTAGGAAAAGCAGTGAACAGTGTGTGGGTGGGAAGCTGTCAAACTGGCAAAGATGGAGAAAGAAGAAACAGTTATTCATTAGCGACAAGGTGCTTAGTATTGATATCACTTATCAAAGAGAGGCATTTACAAGAAAGCTTGGAACGATGACAGCATATCTTTGTAATTAAGGATAACCACAGGAATGTATATGAGTGAGGACCTGTAACCTAAGAAACAAAACAGAATGTATTCTACTTAAAAACTGAGAAATTCTTATTTCAGCTTAACATAATATAGACCAAACTTTGTTTTTTTTTCCCAGTTAACTTATGTAGTTCTGTTCTGACAAGCAAGTACACAGAAATGCTGTTGTCTTTCATATTTATTGTGCCATAGATGTAACAGGAAAATTATTTCACAGGCTAATTAAAAGGATACATATTTAACCACCAGTTTTGCAAATCGAGGTAGCAAGAGTCTAAGTCAAGTTAGATTCTTTGAGTATGTCTGCAGCTGGGGAAAATTGTATTGTTTTTACTTTTACTAGTGTGAAACTATTAGAGAAAATATTCACCACTTCTGGTTTGTAATATTGCATTGCTTACTAGTAAGATATTAACAGGGCTTTACATCTCTGATGTATTATAAGCTCCATGTGGCTCAGGGCTACAGTATGACTAACTGCAGGTTATTAGAGTTTTCACAGTGAAAGTACTACTTGTAAATTGATAGTAACTGTTCAAACAACAGTCTTGTCCTAAATTGTAAAAATTGCTGCGTGAAGGACAATAAGTGGCTGTGTTGTGTAGGAACTGTATTGGCCAGTATCCTGGCTCTTGACAGTTGCCAAAAGTAGGAAGACTGTAGGAATGGAGCACGAATCATAGAACCATAGAATGTTCCAAGTTGGAAAGGACCCACAAGGACCATTAGGTCCAATTCCTGGCTTGACACAGGACCACCCAAAAATCAAACCCTATGTCTGAGAGTGTTGTCCAAACACTTCTTGACCTCTGGCAGGCTCGATGTTGTGACCACTGCCCTGGGGAGCCTGTTGTACATCACCCTCTTGGTGAAGAACCTTTTCCTGATACTCACCCAACCTTAGCCTCCTGTGATGCAGTTCCATGACATTCCCTTGGGTCATAACACTGTCACCAGAGAGAGGAGCAACTCCCCCTGCTACCTAAGATTGTAGTGACATAGAATACCTGTGCTAAACTCATGGTCAGTGTGAGCCATTTTGTTGATACTACTTTGCACTTACAACAAAGCATGGAGTTCAAAGGTTGTTAGCGTAGGAATAGGCACTTAGTGCCTTTAATCATGACAAGCTACCACATAGTTAATCTAACAAAGGTTTGAAATGAAAATTTTTGAGGAAAAGTAGGGAGAAAATGTTTTGCTTTATTTTATTTTTGGTGTGGCAAGTAATAACTTTTTTGTAACAATGTGTATCAGCTGTAATTCTTTTTTCAATGTTTTTCGAGCAAAACACTCTCCATGTTCTTGATTTAGGGTAGTAAAATTATATAATTCTACAGATTTTCTAAAAGTTTATTTGTACCAGGTGCTTAAATGGAATGCCTAATAAGCATCCAAAAGGGCCAGATCCAATGGAGAGATTTAAACTCATTTTTCTTTTAAAATGATGACTGCAACATGCTATATTTAGAAGAATAAATGCATTTGTAAATATAAGGTGGAAAATAACTGTTTAAGCACTTGTATAATGAGATTGTATTTGCTGAAAAGTAAGTAGAAGTTGCAGAGCATTACAAACATAGTATAATGTTGTAAGCAAGGCTAGTAATATCACTAATGCCTCGGGTACTATGGTGTTCAGCTCTGGGCCATACACTTTAAAAGTAATCCAAACCAATAGGAAAGGATCCAAAGGAAAGTTGCAAGAGGGTTGGAAAGCAAGACCAATAAAAAGAGATTGAAGAAGGGATTTTATTTATTATAGAGATAATTAAGAGGATAGAAGAGTCATCCAATAATAATAATAAAAATAAAAAATAAAGGAAAGTTGGATGTCTTGAAATTATTCTTCCTACACACTGAAGGGAAGTACAAAATTATTTAATATGTAATAAAGACTATTTGGGCTGTATATTATGAAAAATACCTGTATTGCAAGCAGGGTAGTAAAATACTGGAACTGGCTTCTTCAGGTTACTGGGAATTTTACTTCACTGGAGTTTTTTAAGAATGATTTTTCCATCTATCAGGAAAGGTCTCAAGGCATTTATCCTTTAGATATATGCCAAAAGTTGGCTGAGAAACACTGTTAAAACTGCTTTCTGTTTACATTGTTAGTTATTCACTGACATTTCTGATAGACACTTTCTCTAAACGTCATATCCTGTGTTCTTCAAACAAGGCCTAAAATGTAGTAGGAACAACCTCTTTTAGAACTGAATAGGAGAGGAGGAGGCCATACAACAGGAATTAGCTTACTCAAGGCATATTCTACATGTGAAACTGGTGCAGACATATTTGTATCTATACAGACCTACTGGCCAAACACTCATGTTTGCCTTCTCAACGGCTGCTTTAATCTGAGAAGGAAAGCTAATTTTATGCCGTCTGTGGTGAGTTAAGTGTTCCCAGGTGTAAAGTAATGGGGGAAGAACTCTCTCTCTGTTCCCAGACGCAGGAATGATTCAGTTCCCATAAATCCCTTTGAGACATCTTTCCTCAGTGTCACTTGGTTATTGTTCAAAGGGAGAGGACTTGGCTCTCTGGTGCTTCACAGGGTACGTATTTTAGTCAAAGTATGGTAATTTACCAGCATGCCTAAGAAAAGAAATGTCTCTGCCACTTCATAGATTGCCAAAAAGTGAGACACAAATAGTTGTTATGTTTGCAGTAAATGTCAGTACATCTGACAGTGGTAACAATGTCACTGACTACAGAGGAAAGGTCTGAGGAGGTAAGCAAAACAAAGATTTAGTTGTGTGGGTTTGGTGGGAAACAAGCAGCGGTTGAGACCAAAAAGTTTCTAAGATTAGTATACTAAGCCAGTTGTTCTTCATTGTGTAGTTTTGCAACCATGCTTAGGCACCATTTCTGTTTTGATAGCCCACAACGTTGGTGTGGCATAATGCAGTGAGCAAAATGATCTGACATAACCCCATGTTTGTAATTCTAGTAGTTAAGAAACCTAGTAAGTTTTCACAACCTCTTTGAGACTGAACTGGGTCATTGACACAGGTCACTTATGAGGTCTCCTTACTTGTGTGCCAAGAAAGTAAAATGTTTATAAACCAGCTGTTAACTCTCACCCACCCCCATTTAAGCTGGATTGATTTCTGTGCAGCTAAATGCTTGATTTTAGCCTTTCAGGAGTTATTCCAAATGTTACTGAAACCTTTGATGTTTTCAAGGCATTTTTTCCCCCTATTACTCAGTGAGGGAATTCCAAAGTCTTTTTGCAGCTTTTCTAGTTGAGCCTTTTCAAGTTTCTTCCAAAGGATTTCCAAACCTGTTGGAGAACTTTGGACCTTTGAGGCACAACTTGAAATCTTGTATGGTGTCTAAATCCTGATTCTTCATGGGCTTAAGAAGACCCAGATAAGGAAATTGGCAAGAAACAAAGTTCAGAAATCTTTGGCGAGCTGAGCTCCGTAGGAATTTTAGTGAAACTCATATCTCTTTGAAATTTGTTGTTTAATTCATCCACAGTATCTATTAGACAATCTTCAATGGTATTTCCAAATCTGTTTTTCTAACTTCAGAATTTGTAAATATCATTTCTCTAATAAGGTAGACGGACAATTTTAGGGACTGAATATTTGGTATGCATTTTGAAATTAAACATCTCAATCTGTATTTTAACACCAAATTGACCATGTTAAGAATGGAAGATCTAATTACCTGATACATTTTTTGTGTTGATAGTACTTGTGTACTAAAACTTATTTTTTCAAGGATTTACATGATATGGGATAAAAGATTTTAGCAGTGAATTTTATTTCTTTGTTGTATATATAAGTTATCAATGTCTCAAATGGAATAAAGAGTAAACTTGCATTGGCCTCAGTATTTATGAGGGTTTACTTCAGCTGTGTATTTCAGTTATTTTTTTAATAAGATAAATATTATATGTTAAACTAATAGCCACAGAGTGGGTAGGTAGTAATGTCAATTTCCTTATCACCAGGTCATAAAGCAGGATTTTTGTGGATTCTGTTAATTAAAACTGGAAATTTACTCTAGTTAGCACAGGAAAGCTGTATAATGATCATGTATATGCTTGTCCTCATATTTTTTTCCTCCTTCCTGAGCCACTGCAGATAGCATTGATAGTTACTTTTGAATACACATATTAAGAGACATCAGTGTTCTGATTAGCTGTGGGAGAATGAGGTCAAGATTTCAGCTCTGTTCTTCCAACTGCAACTGCAAACACAAGCTCTGCAAAGCTTTTAAAATCCTCTACTTCCTTGGAAAAGGAAAGCAGGAAAAAAACTCAAAGCCTGTATTGGTAAGGGAACAGTATTATAAATGGGATCATCAGAGTTTCTTTATAGACACTGACAGCCTAACACTTCGTTAGTAATCTTCTTCAAAATATGTATGTTAATTTTTACATAACGTTCCAAGATTTAATCATACATGTATATATTGAAAGACATAAAAATCACTTGTTGTGAAAAGGTTCAACTTCTTTTCACCCAAACATTCTGTTGTGTTCTTTTCAGCTCTTAAAAGGTCTTAGACAAGAACAGTAAAATCGAAGAAAGGTATGAAACGTATCATGAAACCTATCAAAGAAAAGAATCATGACCTTTCAATTGTACCAGATGGGTTTATGTACCAGTAATGTGTAATGTGGTAGGGAAATGGTGCCCTCTGCAGGGTTCTCTTGCTTAGTTCACCCCATGCTGCTGTCTGCTGAGAGGTCCTTACGAATTATGTTCGCTATCAGAGATGTTCATGCACAAGGCACACACCTTCAGCCTTTGTTTATGCAGGAGTAGTCAGTGTGTCTTTCAGAGCTGCCAGAATTTTCTCAGTATATTTGTTGATGAGAATTTTTCACTAGGTTCGATGAATAAGCTGCTATCTGTAGTTTACAAAGTTATGATGAGGACCTGGTGTTTGGAATACGAGCTCTTTTGGTTGAAAGTTGAAACCAACATTTCCATTTGATTGAAATAAACTTGTGTTCCAATGGAGATGATGGTTGTCTTTTTACATCTATGTTTAATGTGTTTAGAGCTTTACAGACAGATATTAGCAGTGTCTCTCCAGCACAACAGGCAAGCAATTTGATTTTGAAGTTAAGCTGTTCAGTGAAGCAAAGTAACTTGATAACAGTTGTTCTACTTCTTTTTATCACAGGTGCTCCTTTGCCACCTCTGAAACTGGGGCATTCAATTTGTGCCCTGAAAGCAGATGAAGGACCATGCAAAGCTATCCACATGCGCTATTATTTTAACATTCAAAGCCGTGGGTGTGAAATATTTGAATATGGAGGATGCCATGGCAATGAAAACAACTTTCTAACACTGGAAGAATGTCAGAACAAGTGTGTGGTAACAGGCCAGTACCCATTCTCCTATTCTCATCAGTTCTTCATTTGCATTTTTTAATTGTCATCCGTAAACCATATGAATTTTAGAAGTAGAGGTCCTCTTCAGTTCCTGTTAATACAGTAATGTCATGCTCCCAATTATGCTCCCAATTATTCTACTATGTTGTAGTCATCTGGATTATTTTAGATTCTGCAAGCAAGCATTCTGGATTTGGGAAGACAAATTGTGATTTTTTTTAGTGGACCTGCAAAATAGAGAGCAATGCAAGAAAGCTTATTTTCTGGCTAAAGCCATGATTTGAAAGAGTTGTTAAAGTAAAATTGATTTTGAGGCTGAGCTAAACTGTTGGCCAGCGTATTCATTGCTTTTGGAATATCATACCCAAGGTCTGATTCCACACTTCTCTTTGTTCAAGAAGCTGATACAAGCTATCCAAAATCTTGAACATCTGCCATGATTCAACAAAATTAGAACTGCAGTAATAAAATAGTCATTTTTAAAAATGTCAGTTATAGCTGTTTGGCTTAAAATATCTGTTTTGTTGCAGCTTCATCAATTAATCATTAGAAAGAGGAAAATGAGATCCAAAACATGATACACAACAAAATATACAAAATGTGCCTTGTGAATGTCGTTTTTGCTATTAAAAATTATCATCATAATTAACTAAGGCCTTCAGCATTGTGAAGGCTTTACAGAGTAAAGTAGGGTTGTTCTCTTACCTGTAAAAATTGAGCCAGAATAGTATGATTAAATAGAGCACAAACCTCTGTGGGACTGTATGTATAAATAATAGCGAAGCTTAACCTCAGATGTTGTACCTGAGCAAAGTTTCATTGATGAGAAACTATCAAAACAGCTAACAGAAGGAAGACCTGTTTTTCCTAACAGGTTTTCTCTGGTCTTCATCCCTTTGATCTTTCTAGCAAGGAGACTGCATGCATTCTATGCAATCCCTGAACGTGATCCCTGAAGTTTATAATGAAAGCAGATTTCAGTTATTTTTCTTTTCAAACAACCCCATGCATGTAGAATAATTTCTTTCAGGATGGAAAAACAAACAAACAAAAACAAACAAACAAAAAAAACAAACAAACAAACAAAAAAAAAAAACAGTACAAAATGTCACCAACAACCTGTCAAAGTGATAAAGATCAGATCACTACATTCTTTAATTGAATGTCAATTTTTCACTGCAGTTAACTCTCAGGATTGATTTGAGACTATTTTTTAATGGCTTCTGATAAGATCTGATAAGCCTTGGAGACCAGATGTACTCCAGTGAAGAAGGAGCAAGTATCAATTGTAGTCTCACTCTGTCCTCAGGAGTAATATATGGGTAAATGTAAATTATATTAAAATAAGATTTATATTGAAATCACATATCACTGAGGAATAATGTTTTGGGTATTATAATTCCTTTGTTACTAAGTAACATCATCTAGAATTTTAAGTCAAAAAAAGAGATGGCATAAAGAAAAACATCTTTCTGAATACAAACATCTGGCAATAAATGAAAACATACATAAATTGAATGAAATTCTGTCCTTCCACTTGGGCCTGAATTGAGTCATAACCCAGCTCTCACTGAACTGGCTGAGAAGGCAAAGAAGCTTCACATCATTGATTTGATTTCTTTCCATGTTGAAGTCACAGATATTTCTAGAATTGCAGATTAGTATTCATATCTAGCACTAAAATGACATTTGCTTCTTTTTTACCTTTAATGTTTTGTTCTTACATTTCTGCAAATTGTTCTGTCAAAATTGCTAGCTGTTCATTCTGTTGAGAACCCTGCAATATTTAAGGAGATCAAATAGTCCTGTGAGCACAGCTCACAGTCAGTAAGAAATTTCCATTTTCTTGTATTGTAAATGCTAGTTCTGCTGTCTTTGTATTTGGGTCATTTTCTTCAACTAGAATATGCCGGTTTTAGTGCTTGGTAGTAAAGGAAACTTAGAGGGCAGGAGCTGATCTTGTTTCAAAAGTAGGCTGAAGACTGACACCCACCAAACTGGGTGTAAGAATTGGGTGATGATATTTTGATGAGCACTAAAGAAGAATTAATTTTAAGGAATCATAAAATCATTAAGGTTGGAAAAGACCTTCAAGACCATCTGGTCTAGCCATCACCCTACTACCAATGTCACCCACTAAACCATGTCCCTAAGCACCAAGTCCAACCTTAAAGAGTTAAACGTTATTCCAATTCTGGCTTTAATATTTTGCATAGTTATTCGCTTTTTCCTTGTCAGTGGTCTTTCTACACTTGCATCTTTCCTTTTGTCATATGGCTTCTACAAGTCATAAGTTTGTATCAAGGATTTAGCTGATTTTATTTTATTTTTTTCCTCTACATAATCATCTCAAAAAATATTTCTGTATTTATTGAACTTTCATAAAAGAAATTAATAAAACTTGCAATTGAATTTCGCAGATAATGCATATACATAAGTTTAAAAAAGTCAGCAAGGTCATTCTAAGAGGAAAGACCTTCCTTACAATGCATTTTCATCACTTCTACAGCTGTACTCCATGTTTTGTTTAGAAAATTGTGATTAATCAGTTTCTAGCTACAGCTCCACAAAGTTAACAATACAGTCTTTCAAGATAAAAAAATGATAAGCTCTTTTTCTTGATTAGCATTCATAGTCAAAAACTGTTTGGGATGTGAAGATAGCTCTTCTTTTTCTGTCACCAGTCTGGCTTTTGGCACTCCACATCTGGTATCTTGTTTTGGTTTTCAGCTGGACCTACAGCATTTCTGCAATTTTCAGAGCAGGATTGTTTGCAGGACTGCAGCTGCCAGTATCTCATCCAAAACATCTGTTATCCTTGTGATTTGGAGTGTTTGTCCTGAATTCCAATTTAAAAGCTAAGACAGAGGGCTAAACTGAAGAAGGCAAGGTTCATTGGTGCAGAGTTTGGGTTGAAGAGTGTATAAAAGCCATGATCAGGTGCCATGAGTGAAGTTCTACAGAATTATTTCTTCGATCTAATGTTGATATTTTTGATTAATAGTGTTATTTTTACTCTGACATGTATGTTGGATCAATACCTGAAACAGATCTTCTGAACTAAATCCTATGCTAGCATGTAATTAGCTTAATCCTGTAGAATGAAATGGGAATATCATTTAAAATGAGAGCTGGCACAGTGTCTATCTACATGCTGGTACTCAGCCTGGGTTCCAGTATTTGGTATATGCTTAATAATGGTCCAAGAATTTGCAAATGTAGAGTCTGCAGTGAGGAACTGGAGCAATGGAGGCTCAACATTTCTGTATTCTCTGAATGAGTAACTGCAGATAAAATGGTTTGGCGTCACACACAGTACTGCTGTCAAACATTAAATTCTTTTTTTTTTTTTTAAATATATATATTGCTAGAATTGCAGATTAGTATTCATATCTAGCACTAAAATGACATTTGCTTCTTTTTTACCTTTAATGTTTTGTTCTTACCTTTCTGCAAATTGTTTGTTGGTTTTTGTTTTTGTTTTTTAAAAAAAATAGTAGCTTCTATTTGTGAAGCCTGGCTCTGTGCAGTCTCATATTATATTATGCTCATCTTAGTTAATGTTTCTGTTATTTATTACTGCAGAAAGATAACTAATTTAGTAGCAGAGTAGAAATCAGACTAAAATGACTGTTAAATTCTTAAAAATAAAGAAAAATCTAAGAGCTATTCAGAGAATTGTCACTGTGAAGAGTGTGAAGGTAAAGATTGTTAAAAATAAGCTAAAGAGAAGTTTTGAGATGTATAAAATCAAAAGAAATAATGTGAATAGCCAAAATGTCTCATTTTTCAGCATTAAGCACAACTAATTAAGCTAATACTAGTGAACTGCAGGGCTCCTTAAACTGGAATAATATATATTTTTTAAATGGATGAATAAACCATCAAAGATGGAAACTGATGATTCCCAGAGCTGGTTAGAGTCAGCACAAGAAGGTTTGGAGAGTCCAACTACAATCTGGCTACTTCAAGCTTCTCTAAGACAATGTTTTGATTCAAGATGCCTAGTTCTGATTCACGTCTCCTAGAAATCAAGTACATTTTTTGTTTCTTGTGCTTGAAGGTCACCACTTCAGAGAGTGGATAGGAGTAAAATTGCAAATGGCAACACAAGCACAAAGGTCCTAATTTTCAATGCAATGAATGTTTATCCTGGAAATACTATTTAAGCTTTCTAGTATGGAAAAAATACCTGTTGGTAAAAGGTTCTGGACATGACAGCAATTTTTAGGTCAGTTATTTAAACAGTAGATCTACTCAGAATTATAGTATGTTTACAAAGAAGAAATTAAGTCAGCTGTGGATTTGGCTTTTTGAGCAAAACCAGAAGCAAAGAGACAATGTTGACATGGTGGTAAGATTAAAATACTTTAGGCCTGTATAAACTCACAATAAATTCTTCCTGTTTTGTGCCAGAAGGGTAGAGATCACATCAAAGTCTGATTGCTGATTTTGGCCTGAAGGAGACTGATGAGTGGAATTAGTAAAATAGCCCAAAACAATTGTCCTGAAAATAATGTTGTTGGTTTTTTTGTTTTGTTTTAAATCAGGTCATAGGTTTAATGCTAAAGGCATAGCCTCCTACTAACAGGAAACACTGGAAATATGTTCAAATAAATGATTTGTCACTCTCAAGTGCATGTTATATCTTTGAATAATATTTTTTTAAGAATGCCAGTTGAATTATCCCAGAGACAAAAGGAAAATGTAGCAAAATAGAATTTTTACCCAGTATATGTGCTTTGAAAATACAACACAAGCAACACTTTCAGAAGGAAAAGAAAAAAGTCTAGAATAACAAACTGGTAAGGTTGTGGCACACAGTGTGGCAGTACAACTGACACTAAAACCATATTAGCTATCAGCACCTCTCAGAATAGGAGTCAAGGAAGGTATAACAGTATATAAATGACAGTTGCAAATGCTCTCAAAAGTGAGTGAAGGATGAATCGTTAAAACTAGTTTCAATTTTAGTCTGTGAAAAGATTGTTATAGCTAGTGTATGTGGCAGGGGAAACCTTATAGAAAATTACAAATAGCAGAAAGGGTAAGGATGCAGATGGCTAAATTATCTTATGTTACTGCTTAAATAACAAGGAAGGGCACAGCAGTAACTCCACTTTTTCCAGCAGGAATTGTTTTCTACCTGGTGCTTTAATATTGCAAACATCATAAGGAACACTTTACGCTGACACTTTGTGGCATTACAAAGGGAATTGAACAGCATAAGAGAGGTTTTTGTTGTTAACTAGATCTGCTCCAAAGCTATATTAGCACTATGAGTAGCTGAAGTACTTGGGTTAAATTAACCTAGCTTCTTTTGGGGAGTAAGATTACATAATGCAGGATTCTGGCTCCAGCAACATAAAGAGGAATTTCCCTGTTCGATTCAATATGGGCATAATTTAATCCCAGCATTTTCCATATCCTCTTCTTTCAAATATAGCAGGTCTTCTCATATGAAAGAAACAATACCTCTCAGTCCTTCAGACCATGATGTTGTGCTACTTCTTTAATAAAGAGAAGAAAGGAGGGGAAGAGATGTTGTGTTCTTCCTCCTCAGTGCTCATAGTCATGTGAAGCAGTCTGGTACTACAGGTGAAACTTTATGTCTCTACTTTTAATTATTTTTCTTTTTATTTATATTGTAGAATTCTCTCTGAAGATGATGCTAGCAAAAATGAAGCAAGGTAATTGTTCACATACTAATCTTATACTCTTATACAATAAGGTACTTAGCCTCTTTTGATAGATTCTTTATGTTTGTTCCAAGCTGCCTCCTAATAACAGCAGTGCCATACTAAAACGAGTTATTATTTCTAATCTTCTTCATCCATATTCATCTAAGACTTTAAGGACAATTGTGGTCACTGTGGTCAGACACTTTTCCCTAAAACAAACATATTCTCTCTTTCTTCAATAATCAGAAAAGTGTGATTATGCAGAGAATCAAGCAGAATGTAGTTAGCCATAAAGTGGAAATTTTTAATGTGTGTTTTGAGAATAATAATCTAAATATAATCTAAACACTCCCTTTACTATTAGCAAAAATAGGAAAAATCACTCTGAAGCAGAGCTGTTTCACATATTGCCTGTGTAAGAAATAACAGGATTAGTGTGGCCTCTCTACTCAAAAAGGCAAGAGAGCAAGTTTTCCTCTGCAGAAACTACTGAATGGGCAGACTGTTTTACAGAAATTTAAATGCCCAATGCTCAGACTTCCTAAGTAATGAAAATGAAATAGCCGATGAAAAGGCTAGCCAATGAAAAATGGCCAGGTCCTTCCTTAAGCACTGAGAATCACCTGCTTGGAACACCAAGTGGTAACACAGTTGAGGTGTAACCTGTGATCCTAACATGGATATTTAGGTCTGACACTTAGAGCTTCTGAAGACTTATTGCACGCCTCTTCATTCCACATTTGAGGCTTATCTTTATTGGGCCCAATACTGGTAGCCAGAGTTCTCCTCTGATTTCATCAGAAATCAGCTCTTCTTTCACTGCTTACCAGGATCTCGCTCCTTCTCCTTACTTCCTCTTGAGCTGGTATGCGTTTAACTCCTCATAGAAATGCCAGTATTTGCATAGACATTTTGAAACAGACTAAATCATCTCTCTCTACTGAATGGTATTCTGGAATATTTTTATGTTGAGATTAAGGTTTTCTTTTCCTTTTTTTTTCTACTCTGTCTCCCATTCTTATGCTATGGAAATTACAAAACCTGATTTCCCATAGATGCTGCAGAAGTTTGTACTGTTTCCTTTAATGTCTTACTCTAGTTCCTGCTTTTATTGACAAAAATACATAAATAAATAAATAAAAATAGTTAACTTGTTAACTTTAGCTCATGACTATAAACACCATTACGTATTTACTACTGTTCCCAGTAATGTATTCTTGAATATTAATCTGTGGAGAAAGACATTTAGAAGTGTAATACGATTTTGTATGGTTAGGATTATACTGCTGTATTGTCTTCATGGCCTCTCTCTGCAAAACTGGCTATAAAAGTTAGCTGTGAGCTCAACTTATTTGAATTTAATTTTCTCTTTCTGCAAGAACCACTTTAATATAAAGATTTTCAAAATGAGGAGCAAATGTTTTTATTTACATACCTTTATTTTCCACCTTCTTTTCTCAGTTAATATCCAATTTATACATTTTTTTTAACTCTTTTTTGACAATATTATGCAATATTTGGTGAAAGAATTGGTTACTAATAGATGGTTAGTAATGGTTACTAATAGATAACATATGTCCAATAGATGCTGCTCTGGAAATTGTGCCTGCTACTTGTCTACAAAATGGTCTCATTTCCATTCTCATGGAAAGCATATCATGTTTTTTTATCCATATAACCCATATTTGTTAGTCTCCGTGAACTAGTTTTGTAAATCTGTGAACATCAGTAGGTGTTGCATTTGAATGGTAGGTGTTAAATATCTGAACTGTAGAATACACATACTTACTGGCAGAAAATGTCAGTTTTAATGAAAGATCAAAATTAAGCTATCCAGAAGCACTTCAAATAGTCAATTTCTTTAATTTATGCAAGAACATTGTAATGGTTGAATTTTCCTTGATCTCTGAAAATGACATTTTTCTATTAAAGAAGCTTTATAAAAAGTGAAATTCAAGATATTGACTATTATTTCTTGGGAAAACTCAGTTTATGAGCTATTATAATGCTTGATATGAGTATTTGATTTGTCTCGAACTTAGTTATGTTGTTTGAGCAATACTTTTGAATAAGTATATAGTTAAAAATAGAGGTTATAGGACAAACTTCCTTACTATTCCATAATCTACTCCAAATGCATTAGGGACTTCAAACTAATTGTTCTGTAGTGATTTTTATTAAAACACACACTGTTTTAGTCTTACCTCGCTCTTAACTTTCACATATAAGGCCTGCCTCATGTGTCACACCTGACACAATTGTTTTATATGAAGACTAAATATACTTTGCTAGTCAGCTCAGAAAAGTATCATATTTCAAATTATGTACTAGCAAGAATTTGAGAATACCTCCAGATATATTTTATTATTTTTGTCATTATTTTTTTTTTCCTCCTTAATTATAAATTTAAAATGAGTACAGTGAAAAACAACATTTGAGGATCACTGTACAAAGATGTGTTTTTCTTCACTGCCAGAAGCTGTGATATCATGCCTGGTTATTCAGTCAAATCATGTAGTATTCATTTATTAAAATTTTCTTCTTTGATATTGTAATTATGGAGCATGAACTAGGAACAACTGAGACTGAAAAGTGGTAGTCAGAATAATTGTTCTGCCTTCTAGTTTCCTGTATCATTTTATAGTAATAGACTGTCCCAGACAAAATGTATTGTTAGATTTCTGATAGAAAAAATAGAAATAGATTAATAAACAAACAAACAAACAACTATTTCCTTTTTCCTTCTATTTTAACAATGTCTTCTGAGTCATTCACACCAACATTGACTAAAACTACATAAATGTGAAGAGTTTATACTTAAGTTCAAATGATCCAGCTGTGATTTATTTATTTATTTTTTAATTCAGAATTAAAAGTAATGTTCATCTTAGAGCTTCAGTGTAGAAAGACAGCTAAAGGAATTATCAGTACTCATTTTCCAAGGTACAATTGAATGGTTATTTGAAAAAAAGAAGAAAAAAAAAAAAAAGCAATAACCATGTCCTATAATGCTCTAGCTCAGTATTGCAGTGTTATATATATAGAACAAAAGCAGTACCCTAAAGCAGCAGTTATTTTACAATTGGTTTTTAGTCTAAAGATGCAGGTTTCTTATATCAACTTTTTCTAGTTCTATTGTTGTCTTACAGTGTGTTTTGCTTTTTTTTTTTTTTTTTTCTTCCCTCACCCTGTTCATCATTTACCATTGTTTGTAGAAAAGCCTGACTTCTGTTTTCATGAGAAAGACCCTGGAACCTGCAGAGGTTATTTTTCCAGATATTTCTATAACAAAGAGACAAAACTATGTGAAATATTCAAGTATGGTGGGTGCCTAGGAAACCAGAACAACTTTAAGAGTTTGGAAGAATGCCAGACTACCTGCCAAGGCAACTGTAAGTTGTTGTCCTTGTTATTCTTAGCTTTATTCTTGTATAAACAACATTGTGTTTTGAAGGTATTTGGCATAGGAAAAAAGGCAATGTAGGAGACTCCAAAGCAGCAATAATTTATACCTGAGATTAATACAATTATATATTCTTAAAAATACATATAAAAATAAGAAATATAAAGTAACAAAGAAAAATATTTTAAAAGTGGTATGTGCTGTTAATTTTAATGAATATTGCAGGACTCCTGTTGTTTTATTTTTCCCTGTCAAATACCTACATGCATTTTAATTCCACAAACCTCTGCAAAAATATATGTTAAACTTCTTGAACCTATTGTATAAAAGAAACATGATATATTTTTTTTTAATTGCATATTCTTTAATATATCTATGTTGAAACAAATAATGAGTGATATATAATTTGAAACAGAACATTGAAAGTAATGCAGACAGATGCAGTAATTGAAGTGACATCAATTTTAAGTTAAGAAGGGACTTGGTCCAGGCAGAGACTTAACAGTAACAGAGATTATAAAGATAGGGAATGAAGAAATGGACCTATTCAGGTTGCAGCCACATCACTAAGTCATCTTTTTCATTATTTTTCTTTTTAAATCTAAGATATGTTAGCAGTTTGGCTTTGCAAAGTCATAAAAAGTTCATATATTTTAAGCCATATGTCTGAATCTATTCCTTTCAAAACATGTCTTGTAAAGAAAAGAGGGATTTCTGCTTTTACTGTTTCCTTACTCTGGGTTGCTACCTTCCCACCAAAGAATCATGCAAAACTGGTCCTTCATCTGAATGATTTAGCCCTGCAGTTTAGGCTATGAACAGACACTTAGACTAACCACAGATCTTTCTTCCACTTCCTTGTCTTCCTAGTTCCTATCATTTTTTCTACATCAGAATACAGTAATCTTCCTAACTCTTCCTAGCTCCTCAGAGCACTTAATTATATTCATAGTATAAATTTCTGGACCACCTCCCCCCCCCTTTATTTTTTTTTAATCTAGTGGGTCTGTTTCCAGGACAGTTTCAAGTGTCTTTTCAGTAAGGGGAACCTGAGCTCATTCATATTTAGAACAGGAAAGACCCAATAAGTTTCCTTTTTTTTTTTCAAAAGGATTTTCAAGGATTTTCAAAAAATACACATATAGAGCCAAATGCTTTTCCCGTACCTTTTGCTGAAGCATTCCTTCCTGGGCTCTGATTCCATTTTTATCTTCTGGACTAAAAGTTGCAAAATGCTTTTTAAAAATTATTTTATCTTTTTTTTTTTTTTTTTTTTTTTTTTAATTTCAATCTGAAATAACACCTAATTGTAAATTTGTGTGAATATCAAAGAAGGGAGCCACAGCTTCAATAGACAGAAGTTTTTACCTTAGTGATACTGAAACTTTGATACCAATTATTTTGTGTTTTTCCTCATTGTTTTCCATTCATTTTTCTTTTAGCAAATTTATTGCCAGATGCTCCAACTGAAGATTATCCTAACACTATGAACAGTAGCTCGCCAGAGGAAGAGCACAAGCAGTTTCCCAGGATATTTGGTAAGAATTTGCTTTTGTTGTTTATAATTTTCCTTTTTTTGATGAAGCACTCACTCTGAGGCTTGTCCACTTCTTTTGGTTTGTCCATATAGTTTATTTGAGAATAGTTATGTCAGTTGAAATATGTAAGTCTAATGAGCTGATAACATGCAAACTAGCTTCATAGCCATTTTTTGTCAGTAATAATAAGTATTTTGAAAAGGGGTTATTATTGCAAAGGTTAGAATGTTTGCTAGCAATATAATAACAACCTTACCAGACCATATTTGATTTAAGTATTATAAATATTATTATAAAAATGAAGGAAAAACTTAAAACTTAAATGGGTACCAATCATAGTTTACTTTCAGAACTTTCTTGTGTCTAGATAGCATATCATATATTGTTTCACTACTTTTTTTTTTTTTCTTTTAGTAAATTTATTGCCAACTGCTCCAAATGAGAAGTCCAATATTATGAACAGTAGTTACCCAGAGAAAGAGCACAAGCAGTTTCCTAGGTTTTTTGGTAAGAACTTGTTTTTGCATTTCCTAGTTCTCAGTCTTTTATGTGCACCCTGGATTTACTGAGAGAAAATGGGTGGAAATGGAATATCTGAGACTAAAGAATGGGTTCCCATCTATGTCAATAGTTTCAATAAGCAGAGAAAGTCAAAACAAAAAAATATATTCTACTTACACATCTTCTATAGATATCAGAAAGTGGAATACTGATTATACTTTGTCCTCTTATGAAGGTGTGTTCTTGTGAAGGTCTGATAAAAAACAAACCTTTAAATACCAAAATCAAAAGCAGTGTTGCAGAGTTGTTTTAGTCAAAATAAATCCTTTTCCATGGCACTGTCAGAGCAGTTAAAGATTCTTTTACCCATTAAGAAAGAATTATATTTGGATTTTGGAATATGGCGCAATATATTTATCATGATACATTTTTATCATTGTTAAGGTCATATTAAACTTAGTTCATGGTTTGATTATAGTCAAGGTAAGTGTGAATGAATTTCATGACTACTTAAAGGGATTTTTGCGCTAATACGTGGTATAATGCAGATAAGAATCTGGAGGCCCTCTACTGTGGAGGTTTTGACAATTTCTGCAGCTGGGGACTGTCCACTAGAGATTGCTGGTACTTGCTCACACTCTAAAGGGTGATTGAATTTGAGGCATATCATTTTTATGATCCACAGTTATGCAAGAGGAAACAAGAAACAGTTGGGAAAAGACTGAGCATTCTTACCAAGTATTTCTATTTGTTTTATTTTTGCATTTATACTTATTTGTACTTTTGGAGATAATGTGATAGTTTACAGATTCATCAATGTTTTTGTGTTTTATATGGTCTGTAGGGTAATGGGCATGTAGGATAACATTCCGGTGCTCTTTGCTTAGAGTTGTGTCTAATAAAGCTTGATTGTATGTTGTATTCTATTTATTTTGCTTGTACAATGATCACATGTACTGTTGGCTTGAGGTAAATTTCTGAGATAGCTGGATTTTTTACCACATACAAAACATTAAAATGACTGAATAAAAAACAGTAAGCCTCTTGGTAGCTTATTGTACTGAAAAGTAGTTACATGACAAAAAGCCTGGTTGTCAATCTAGGGACATGAGTGCACATGTTCCCTGAGGTTTCTACTCGCAATATGATCCCCCATATTCCCAAAACAACTAGCCTATGCAAGCAAAGAGGCATTATTCCATGTGTTTTCTTAGAGGAAACTCAAAAAAAAAATGAAGTGTTGTATCAACAATAGTGAATTTTGTGGTAGAGCAGATTTCAGGAAAGAGATGAGGGTAAGAGGAAGGACAGAAGACTGGAAGGTTGATGGAAAAAAGGCTGAAGTAACAAGGGAAGGTAGATTCAGTGTAAATGGGTGAGTCAGGTAAGAAACATGACCTTGAAAGGACTGATGAGTTTCAGTGGAAAGTCTGAAGACCTCACAGTTCTTTCTCTACAATATAACCTTTGTCTTACGCTAGCCTGCCTCATGCAGATGTCTGCTGCCATTCTGTTTGTTTATCTGCCCGTACCTTTCAGGCTGCTGGGATGGGCTAAAATCCTGTGTTTTGTGCAATCCCATTTCATGGCAATGAAATGGTAGGACTAAAACAGACCACTAATTTCTCCACATGGCATAGCTTCCACTCATGCTGTTACTAGAGGCAAGAGTATTAACTGAAGTTGCAAGGTGGAGTTATTTCACACAAATGTGCAAAGTGACTCTCATCACCCTCTGGGACGGAGGAAAAATCTAGTTACACACATGCAATGTCAGAATGGACTGCTTGGGATGGAATGGCTGATTCTCATCTTCTGAAGCACAGGTGAAATAGCTTATCTGCTATTGTAACGTGTTTTGTATATTGGCCTGGCTATGTAGCTTCTTTTCTTTCTTTTTTTTTTTTTTTTTTTCAAATACATGACCAATATTAAAAAATAATAAAATTCCAAGGAGTTGTCCCTTATAGAATAACTTGCCTTGTATAAGTTTGCCATGATACCAGATTAGTAGATTTCCAACAAAGTTCTTGATCTTAAGAAGATTAAAGTCTTCCATGACCAAGAGAAACTAACTTTATCTGCATATAAACACAAGACCTCTAGTGTTCTCTGTCAGCAAAGAACTTGCTGCAGAGAGCCAATATTGTTCTGGTCTTATTCTGCTATAAGTTGTAAAACAATTTCTGGGGAAGTGAAAGTGAAGCGAGGAATCAAGCCTTTCATTTTTAGATTAAATGAAGTGATCTACGGTACGAAATTGCAAGTGCTATATTCTACATTCAACTTGTGAAATCTAAGTGGGATGCAAGATCAAAAGTCGGTTTTCCACTCAGTGAGTTTGGAATAGCACACTGAAGCAGCTCCTGTTATTATTTCTTAGAGTCAGGGCCATATCTTTTGCAGATACAAACTGACACAGCTATATTTGCTATAATGGAGCTGAACCAATTTATACCTATAGAGTAGTGTCAAGTGCAGATGACTCATTATTTTTGTAATAGCCTGTCTACTTGAGAATTCTTTTATTATCTCTCTGCTGTAACCAGAATGAGAAACTGAAGTCTGCATAATAATGTGGCAGTAAACCTGAAGTTTCATGAATGTCAAACACCTGTGTTTAGCAGAAAAAAATGCAGTAAGCATTGTATGCGTCACTCATGAAGATAATTTTAAACTTCTTTTGTATTAAGATTATCAGTTCATTGTCACACATTTGAACCCCAGCTAAGCCTGAGGGAAAACGGTTTTTGTTTCAAAGCACGTTTGAGATTCGTTTTGATAAATGAATCCATGTCTGAATGTGCGTGTTTCAGAGATTCCAAAGTACGACCATATCATCTGTTTCCATCAGAGAGGGGTTGTATGGGATTCAAGGAACAACTGTATTTAAAGAATTAAATCTTAAACCATGAATTTTAAAAGATCTCTATGTAGCAGTGAAGGGTAAGATACACTAGTCTTTTTATAGGGAAGAACAATAGCCTTTTTTTATTTATTGGCTTTTCATGGAATTAGTTTACCTAATTTTTCAGAGACAAAATATCAAATATTGTGGTTTTGGATCTCATTCTCTGACCAAAACAAAATCAGTCTGAACATCTGCATCATCAACATAAGAGACAAATGCATCTACAGTGTTTTGCTTTAATAAAATGTGAAGCCTGTTTGAAAAGCTCCTGTAGAGATAGAGGTGAGAGTTCCAGCTTCCAAACTCCACTTGAGATAGGTTCCAAGTTATTATCCTGATGGAGTTGTCATGTTTCTGAGGAACACTTCTTCATTGTATCAGCAGTTTCCAAAAGAAAGCTTTACACTTGGAGAATGTTTGACTAATTCAACTTGGAAGCTATTGTTTGTCGTTTGCCTATACAAATTGTAAATTCTTTTTTGCCGTGCCCATTTATGACCTGACTTGTCATGTATTTTGTCATACATGTCATGTATTTTTGTCAAATAATGTGTATAGCATATCCAAGGTTATGAAATTGCTATTGGATATTTAAAACCCATTTAAACAAGTTATTTTGGATAAACAGAATAGCTTGAGCAGAGTCTAAAGGCCTGTTGCTATCCATGTCAATACCATGTAGTTCCATGTATAATGAAATTAGAAAGTATGCCATGACACTTATTAATTCGGGGGTTCGTATGATCTAATGGATGTTAGCATGTAATGATTTATGTAATATAACGAATAATACAACATGCACTGTAAAAAATGGTATAGATAAAATGCAATCTAAATTGAGAACAAAGTAAAGATAAAAGCAACATTCCTGTCTGAAGTAATCTTACAGAGTTGACATCTGTAATTAATTCATTGACCTGTAATGATTAGATTAGGACAAAATAATTCTGATAGAGGAATGTGTATTTTTTTGGCTTTTGTTTTTGCTGTTGTTTGGCTTTGTTTTTACTGTTTTTAGTGTGTACCCCTTCATCTCTGTATAGTTCTGTGAGTTGTGGGTTTTGCTTTTTTTTTTTCTTTTTCCCTTCATAGAAAATGCAGGAGATAAAGACATTTCAACAACTCTTAGGTTGTAAAGGTTGTAAAACTAAAACATTTGAGAGAGATACTCAAGAACAGGCATAATGTCAAAACTTACTGTAATATCATATAAGCACAACATTAGAAGCTGGGGCTGAACAGAGAAAAATTACCTGGATCTAATGCTCCCATTGACTGGGACACACTGGGATACACTGGCTCACAGGCTTGGAAATGCCTACAGAGATGTTGGGTTGGGAATAAGACAGTACATATCTTATGCTTACAGTAACTTGAAGTTAACAAATCTTTTAGTGGTCAGTATAATAAAATAAATTCACAAGTTTTATGATTCTCAGCAGACCAGGAATAAAGTAATTTCATTTTTATTTTAATATACTGTTTTGTGGAAAAAAATGGCTGCTGTATGGCAAAATTAAGAAGTTTTTTTTCATGAGCTGTGTACTTCTGTGAGTGCAAAGAATATGCAGATATTTTGAAAATGAAGATACAACTTTTAGAAACAGTATAATACAGATTCTGAATAACTTTTGGATGCCACTCTGCTAGTTGCTTTATACATATGCAGATAGTCCTTATTCATCAGTTACCACATCACTTGCTCCTTGGCTCCAAAAGCTTATAATTGTTGTGAGAAGCCATTCACTATGGGACTTTGCAGTCTCTCTAGAAAATTCATACTAGACAAGTAATTTATATCAGAAGTATATATTTAAAGTCCATTATAATTAACAACCCTGAACTATTTGCTTCTTTTGTCATTGACAAGTCTTTCTATGTTGTTCTTTTTAATTACACTAATTTTTAAGTTTAAATAGGTAATCACGTTTTTTGTTTTATTATATATTTTTCTTATTCAATGTATATATATATTTATTTATTTTTTCTTCAATGATGCCGAACATTTGTTTTGAAAGCTTATTTCCTCTCCAGCTAGAATCTGGATGAAATTATTTCTAGGCTCAAAAGTTCTTGAAGCCAGTACCAAACATATTGCAAGTTTATTTAGCTACCATCTTCATTATGAATAAAGCAGTAGATTTAATATCCATTGTATAACATTTTGGGCACTTAGTCTAGGTCGAGATTGAACCTTACTCTGAAAATAATGTCACAGATATCAAAAGAAACTAATTAGTACTCATGCTATAACCTGAAATTAATTTAATCTGTCTTGAAATACCAGCTCATGATTCAGTTTTTGCTTTCACAGGATACTTTTTTGAATAGTAGTATACTGTTGCTAATGTGGCTTCAAATGTATTAATAATTTAATTTTCCTTTCTTAGCTTTCCATAAATTACCTTTCTATTTCTGTCTGGGCAATTTTTCACAGTTTTTCACCACACTGGTCTATCAATTATACTTAGCAGACGAGCTTTTTTCAGCAAGTGTAAGGCGTGCAAGACAAACAAAATGTAGCGCATTATTTTGAGCTATTTTCTTGTCAGCCTCTTGAATTGCCCAAGTTAATTCATAATTTCTTGGTTCCAGCAACTCATCTGCTTCGCACTTTTCTGAAAACAGGATGCCTTCAGCTCTGTTGTAACCCAAGTTATTCCCTAAAATTTTAACTCAGTCTTTCCTCTGAACCACTTTTGCCAGCTGTGTGGCTTTCTAACCTTAAGAAGGCCATCTGATAGCTTCATGTGTCCATTTATGCATTCAGATCTCAGTTACTCTGCTACTTCTTGAAGGAAAATGGCATTCCTTTGTGTTCCTCATAACTGATGATTTAATGGCTCCCATTCTTGTTTTTTCTTCCTGTACAGCAGCTATTTGTCAGTTTTAATTTTGCATATGAGTTACTCCTGGGTGATAGGTGATGGAGTTTCTCCAGGGGTGAGCATGGGTGAGCTTGAACTTGTTCCAGTTCCCAGGTACTTCATATACTTCAGCTTCATCTTCCAGCGTTTCAGTTCTCACACTCACTTTCAGCAACACTGAAGATCCAAAACATCAGGCTACTCCATGGAATGGTAAAAAGCTAACAGCAGCACTAAAACACCAGCATCGCAGTTGTTTTGTGCACTTAACTCTTCACCCTTGATCCTCTTTATTCTGCGAGTTGCAAACTTTTCCTTCATAATTGCTCAGTGTTTTCCAGTATTATTATTCCAAGATTATTACTTAAGTTAAAATTTCCATATTCACGTGACAAACCTAATATTAATGTATTGAATCTTACATCAGAGATCCTGGATACTTTTACCTTGTATTTGATTGCAAAAAGTCTAGCAGTAATTAGAAAAATTAACTTCATTATCATAAATATTTACCATATTTTTAAAGCTGTCCGAGATTAATTTATTTCACGCTATGCTCTACAGGTAGTTTACTTGAAACTCCCCTAAGTGAATTTGAGTGCTATCTCCTGCCACAGAAACAGCAATTTTAACACTAAATTTATAGGAAACAAACCTTGCTTTCAGGATAAGTTTTTGTTGGCTTTTGGAATTCGAAGAGAGAATAACATTAGCTGATATTTTTGGTAGTCATAACATGGTAGATGCTTATGTAAAATATCCTGGATTTTCAGAACAGAATTAAATTTGCCACTGAATTTCATATAATTTTTTAAGTTCTCAAAGCTTCAAATCTCATATAAAATATAAACATAACAGAAAACTGGTTAATGACAGTGTTGTCTCTAACCTTTTTTTTTTTTCCATGTTATTTCTAGAACCACCTGCTATCCCTTCTTTGTGCATGACTCCTATGGATAAAGGACTTTGTAGAGCTAAAGAGACAAGATTTTTCTACAACTACTCAACTGGAAGATGTCGCCCATTTAACTATAGTGGTTGTGGTGGGAATGAAAATAATTTCACCTCCAGAAAGTCGTGTTTGAGGATCTGCAAGAAAGGTATGGGAAATGATACTGCCACAGAGAATCACAAG